ATAAGCCTGATATAGTTGCCAAAATCAAACAGTAGCTTGACTCAGAATGTATATGTTTTAAGCCAATTTACAAATATAACTGAGACTTCTTTTGCATAAATACCTCCCTCTAGAATGGTTCTCTCTGTCTCCTAACACAAACACATACACACACATGTGTACTCTCACAGAAACTGTTCTCTACAACACCTGTAGCTTCAGCGAACTCAACCCCAAATTTTTGAGACCATGAACACTTAACGTTGAAATAGATCGATCTGAATTGCTATGCTCTATTGTCTCTAAGCACCAAAAAGCATTTGGAGCTCATTTTGAAATTTCTTAGAACATATCCTCCAAACCAGAAATAATTACTCCTTTTTTACTCCATGCTGTGGGACTTAGCGCATACCACTGTGTTATTTGTATTGTAAACATTTGTTTACATGGAGTTCATCCTGTGAGGAGAGTCTTCCCATATTAAGTATCTACGTAACCCCAGTAACTAAATACTGCAGCATCTTTTACACAGAAGCCAGTCAGTAAACATTTGCTGCATTTTTAGTTGAAGTCTAAGACCTGGATCCACAGGAAAATGGAACAATAACCAAGTCTTTCAGTCCACTTTTCATCTTTCATCAGTCATAAAATCCCCCAATAGATGGGATGCACACTTCCTAGTAGTTCTTAGAAATGGTATGCTTAGTGACTTTGCTATTAACACATGGGATAATTTGGGGTGTGCTTAAAGTATCTGTCTTGTTGAGTATGCTTTACCAAGTGTAGCTTTAAGCAAAATGAACAGTTTGCCAAAGAAACTGCTTTAAAACATTCTCGAGACTAAATCAAGAAGACCCCTTAGTCCATTATCTGACAGAATGGCAGATTCACTGAGCACACCACTATTTTTTTTAGTGGGGAATTATTTCAGTTTCCCAAGCATCTAGGTCCTAAAGCTAAAGTTATGTGCACTGAGATTAATTTATAAAAATGCCAGGAGACTTCCCTTGTGATTTTTGATGCAACACTTACCACTGCTTGCCATGTACACATTGAATATATGACCTAAAAGGTCTCAAAGTGACTTCTCTGTAATCTCCTTTGAGAAAAACTTTCTTCTTTTTTTAATATATTTTATTGATTTTTTTACAGAGAGGAAGGGAGAGGGATAGACCCTCTTAAAAGCCTCTCTAATTCTCAGAAATGGCCATTCAAATCAAAGAAGGTTTTTTTTTTTCTTTTCTTTCTATCTTTACCTAAGTTGAGTTTTCTAGAAGAGGGGATTAACAGGAATTCAACTTTCATTCAGATGGTTCTCTGTGTGAAATCCCTGTGTGCTTTATTTCTAGTGTTTCTAGGACATTTAAAGCACCTTTGCTTTGTTGATAGATATTGAACACCAGTAATTGTACTACCTGAGCTAATTAGGCAACTAGAGCGTGTTTACCATGCCTATCAATTTTCTGTCGAGTGGAATATCTCAAGACCAGTTAAAAAGGAAAGACAGTATGAAATGCTTGCTTAATTGTGTATACAGTATTCTCTAAAGCTAACCAATGACCTCAATTAACAAATCAAGATTAGGATTGTTCCTTTCACTGTTGTTCGTCAGCCTTCTGCAACTGCTTCCCCCAAATCAAGCTTTCATCTTGCAGAAAAGCTTTCACTGGGTTTGCACCAAGCAAAGGGTGAACTGTGAAACCATGGAGGAAATTATGCAGTGGTGGGCTTAACTTAAACCTGAGTAGCACAACAAGAACAAAACAATTTTAGCATGTTATTTTTCTTTTCAGAGTGCTTTAAGAATGTATGAATAGGGAAAATGGGACTTTATGTCTTCATATCATAGACTTCTTCTGGGGATATACAAGAATGTTAATAAAATTCTAGGTATTATACATATAATTTTCCAGTGACAGAAATGTATTCTCTTTGCAAGCATTAAATAAGCTATGCCATTATTGTGCACATTAGCTCCATAACTTAAAATAAACTTTGAACATAGTTTAGATATTTTCAGTGGTTGGAACCTACCATAAAGAAAGAAGAGATAGGATAGTTATTCTTTATCTGAGTATATTTTTATTTGTAGAGAATTAAAAAGATATACTCAGATTTTTTTTTACTCTTTCTGTAAAGCCTAACTTTTAGGAATAAACAAAGACAGAGGGCAGCATTAAAGAGAAAAAAAGGTTAAATCTTACTAAAATCAGACTACATAAAATAGTTATTTTAAAATTTTTTACACATTGAATAGAGAATTCGTTTTTCATATTCACAACCAGCCTTGTCATATTCTCCTCACAATGTATTTCATAAACACACACATGGTATTTAATTGCCATTACAAGCACCTTCCTACTCTGATAATAATGAGGAGAAATTGTAGTGCCTTGAATTCACTCCAGAGAAAGAGATTAAAATAACCTGCTATCATCATTGTAATATCTGAACAAACCCCATTCATTCTTATTACTTTTTTCTATATGCCAAGAAGGCTGTAAAAAACTGTATAATTAAATGATGGTGAAATCTTTTCATTTTTTAAACAGAACAACAAAATCTTGTGTAGATAGTTTTAGGAAGGAGAATAGATAGAAAAAAATGGAGATATTACATTCCTATCTCTTATGAGAGAAGGCGATTTTTCTAAAAATTTATTTCCACTATTTTAAATATTTTTGGGAAATTTGAAATAGGAATTTGAAAACAGCAATTTTTGTGTTAACCTAGAATATATATTTTCTTTTTTGCCACTATTCATTAAAACTCTGTTTTCCTTGTTTTTATTCTCTGTCTTGAATAATGCTTGTCTATTGTACTTCATATCTCTATTAACTAGTTGGCTGAAAGTGACAATATAAAGAATCATTTTACTCACTATTTATAATAACCTTTCTACCTCTGCTTCCTAATAAGGGATGCTTTTAAAATATGGATTCTAAAGTGAAACAGAAGCTGGCTTGCATTCAGTTTATATTACTTTTAGCTATATAATTTTATGTGAGTTACCTTTCCAAGGTTAAATTTCTTCATATTTTAAGTTAATAATAATGTTTTACCTCAATTTTGTTCTTGAGATACTTCTTAAAACAGTGTTTATTTTATTGTATCCACTAACTACATATTAGCTATTTTGTTTTTATTGCTATCATCATCATTATTAAGGATTCAAAGTGAATACTGATTTCCCAACAGAAATCTACTAGCAAGTCATAATAAACAAATTCAAAACCAGTGTTGATTAAGGATCTGAGACATGTAGACCTATAGATGTTTGCAATCCCATGGAATTAAGAACATTATTATAAAATAAAGAGATATTGGCAAGGTAGAAATCCCATATTGTCAGTCTTGAACTCTGGAACCATACCATGTATAAAAATGGTTCAAAATTCATGGTTTTCTTCTACTTCTTTAACCCATGATAAAATAGACTTCAGTTCTCTTAACTAGTCTTACCTAGCTCTTTTGTTGTTAAACCTCATGTGAAGATATTTTTTCCATTGATTTTTAGAGAGAGTGAAAGGGAGGGAGGGATGGGGGAAAGAGGGAGAGATAGAGACAGAGAGAGGGAGAGGGAGGGATGGAGAGAAGGAGAGAGAGAGAGAGAGAGAAAGAGAGAGAGATGTGAGAAAGACATATCAACTGGTTGCCTTCTGCAAGTGCCCTGACTGGGGCCGTGACCAGGTACATACATACCCTTTACTGGGAAGGGAACCCAAGACCCTATGGTGCACAGGCTGATGTTCTAACCACTGAAATACACCAGCCAGAGCTCTTGCCTAACTCTTTAAACATCATTATTTTATTCACTAATTCTCTAGAATAGCAATTCACTTTTCATGGATTAGCTTCCAGAGATCCATAAGCTCATTAAGGCAAATGCAAGTATTGGTCAGTATAGTTCCCACATTGTCTGCCAGAGCCACACTTGTCCTCATCCTGTTTTTTTCTTTAAATTTTTCACTGAAGCTAGAGAAAGTGTTTTAAATAAAATATATATTAGTTCAACCCCCACCAATGCACCAGTTTACTAAGCCATATTATGTTTCTCTTAATTTTTAGGAGAAATATCAAAACCTTTGACCTGAATTAGAAGACTTTGGCTGGTATGAATTTTTATCTATCAGAGTGGTCACATTTGTTTCCTTTCAGTTCCTACTTCTCCACTGCCACAGGGCCTTAGTGCACGCTGGTCCTTCTGCCAAGGTGCAGCTCCTCCTCCCCAAATACCTCCAGTTCATACTCAAAACTCACTCAGAATGTCTGTTCCTAACCTCTTTAATTAGGGCAGACACCCCTATCATACAGCTTCATAGAGCGATGGATCCCCCATGTAATTTTTAATACAGTTCAGTTTAAAAGGTATGTATTAATCTCATTGATTTTTGTCTCCTACACCATGCTATAAACTCATTTTCAAAAAGTATTTGGTCTGCATCTGTTTACTTTTGAATTGTCATTATTTAGTGCAATGCCTGGCAAAACAGATACTTGTTAAATGGGAGCATACATTTAAAAAATGAATGAGAAAGTTAAAAAATATATTTCTATCTCCTATGCCTTATCACATTATATCGTCATTTTGAAGGCAGAAGATTTTCCTTATTAATCTTGGAGGTCTTGATTGTCTCAACTACACAAAATTTAACCAACAAACCATTGTTAAGTAAAGACTAAGATAAAGGCTAGGACAGTGCTGACAACAGAGTAATCTCTTAATAAATGGTAACTAATAATGCTATTATTCTCATTACTACTATGGCGAACTGTTATTAAAATAATCAATTACTCAGAAGTAAATACATGTTTATTCAATATATGTAACATAAATGAACATTTTAGAATGCCAAGATTATCCATTGCTTTAAATAAGAATTTTAAAATATTTTGTTGAGACTTAAAAATTGAGATTATACTGAAATTATAACCTTGGCATTTGATAATATTTTCCTCACTTTTAAATCATGTTTGATATATTTATTAATTTAACTAACTGCATCAAAAGTATACTCTGTTAATATTTATTTCCCCAGTTTGAAAAAGAAAAAGAAATAACTGTTCAAAAGAGCATTGATAGTCTTGGTCAGTGTTGCTCAGTGGTTAGGGTGCACACAGAATGATCATGGGTTCTATTCTCCGTCAAGGGCACATACCTGGGTTGCATACTCGATCCCCAGCCCCCCCTGTCAGGGTGTATGTGGAAGGAGGCAACCAATCCATGTGTCTCTTTCATATCAATGTCTCTCTCTCTCTCTCTCTCTCTCTCTCTCTCTCTCTTTCTCTCTCTACATCATTGGAAAAGTGCATGGATGCTGGGGTGCAACCCCAGCAGGTCCAGGGGTCCCCAAAGGTGTGGACGGAGTCAGCGAAGAGGGAATGACACGGAGACAGCGTTCAGTTGATCAGCAGCCTTGCCAGGATATCTAGCCACAATCTCCAGCCAAGTACTGTGTCCATGTTCTCTTGCTAGGTTCTCCAGCCAGGTTCTCCAGGTTCTCCAGCCAGGTTCTGTAGCCATGCTCTCACACTAGGTTCTCCAGCCCGGGCTCTCGGTTCTGTGTAGGTTCTATCTTCTAGGTTCTGTCTTCTATGTTCTGTCTTCTAAGTTCTGTGTCCTAAGTTCTGTGTCCTGTTGTCTTGTTGCATCTGTATTTATTCCAGTTGATTCTAATCCTATCAATCTCTATTCCAAAGGTTAGGGCGTTTCTTATCTCCATTCCAGGGAGTAAAGAAAAGCATGATTGTTCGTAGTTAGTGATTAATTACCCGCCTGGCACTTAGTTAAGAGGTTTTATTCCCTCCCTAACTTCAGGGGAAAATCCCTACCTGGGGAAACAACCTTTCTGGGAGAGGTGACCTTGGTTAAAACACAGCGCCAAGAAGGTGAGCAAACATATTAAGAACAGTATGCCATATATGCCAGGTCCCTTGAAACAGCAAGGATGGACTGGCTCCCGGGACATGGATACATGGAACAGACTAACATATGGCAGAGGGGAGTGGTGGTAGTGGCTAGGGAGAGATTAACCAAAGAACGAAAATTCATATATGTATAACCCATGGACACAGACAATGTGCTAAAGGCCTGGGGTGAGGAAGGGGTTTGGTGGGGAGGCGGGGGCAAAGGGGAGAGTGGAATGGGGGACATCTGTAATACTGTCAACAATTAAATAATGTTTAAAAAAGAGTACACAATGGCATTTCTTGCTTGGAAACTGAAAAGATAAATGCCTTCTTCAGTCTCCTATATTGAATATAGATATTACAATTTATCTTGGATATAAACTTCAAATTTAATTTCAAATTTCCCTCAATGCAATAAAAGAAAAACTCACAGAACTGTGCAAATCTCTAATACTTTTAAGAAGCCTACAGTAGCTAACAGCTATTGAATCAAAAAAAGAAATCAAGTATTGTACACCATGTAGAATAAAGTAAAATATATAGACTTACCAATTAATCCAAAAGAGTTAAGATTAGAAGCAAGATTCTAAATGAAGGACAATAAGTAACTTTGGTGTTATGCAATGATGCATATAGAAAATTGAGTTAAAATACTTGAGGGAAAAATAACACTTTAGCAATTGATGCAATTAAAATCCACTTATTTTACGAAATCTTATTTCTTATTGTTTTGCTTGATCAGCTTTCTGCCTACTTTTTTCCCCTTAAGAAACAAAAAGCTCAGTTTTTCCATGATGCCCAATTGAACAGTTTAACACCAACATTAATAAAGTAAAATAAATAATTTTCTCTAAATGTTATTTCATCGTTGAGTGAATTTCTATGTTGAGCAATTTCTATAGTTTTTGTAAGAGTTCCAATAGTTTAGCTCATGGCTATTCTACTCTTTTGCTCTTTTCAGATTTTCACAGGGATAATCAGAAAACCAGATTTTTACCTCTTTCACTGCTAATTGTTGTTGATGTTTTCGAAAATAAAAAAAGCATGATAAGGCTGAAATGAGACTATTTCAGAAATAAAATAAAGCTTTCTTTTAGTAACAAGAAAAAGGAAAGAAATAGGAAAGTAATTTATTACCTTGATATATATTTCTTATTTTATGCTCTGCTATCTGTAATTCAGGCAAAACTTTCACACTGAATTCCCAGAATCAAAATTAAATACTAACCTTTAATAAAACAAATTCGGGCAAAACTTTCAGATTGAATTCCAAGATATAAAATGAAATATCGGTCTTTACTATGACAAGAAACAAGAATAAAATGACTTCAAGATGGAACCATTCACTCATTGCGTTTTCTGTGTTTTCAAGCAAGTGGAGATACTATTTGACAATATACCACAGCTTTTGTCAAATTAAACTCTTTAGAAGTGCATATGTATTGACTGAATAATCAACTTTCAATTCTATGGAAACAAAAGCAAATTCCTCATAAAATGTCACTTTCATTCTGCAACTTAAATTATAGAGGGCTAATGAAAACGTAGGTTCAAATTTGTTAACTTCTAGGATATCTGGGTTATGAGTTCTGTGGTTCTGGTTATTGTTCTGACTTGCAGTACAAACCTCTGTGATGCTGGGGCTGCAACTTGCCAATTATACTTCTGCTTTATCCTGCTGGCTTTTGTAAGTCTGTTGACAGAAAATTCTAGAAAAGCACTGGAAGAATTAAGAAGAAACACACTTCTTCCTTTTTTTCCTATTTGTTTCCTGCGCCTGATTTTGTTTCTTTCTGCTCTCAGAGTCGCCACAGCAACAATTTTTCACCCTGACGTGACATTTCATTTCAGTCACAGCAGTTGAGCTCAGTTTGCACTTTTCCCAACACTTTCAGAAACAACCTCATCACACCTCCTCCGAGAGGTCAGCCTCGCGGTGTGGCTCCTCCTTAGACAGCTGAGCTGCCATCACCTGTTCTGTGTCAGCTCTGCACATTTTCTGCTGCATCTCCAGAGAGTTAATGCTTTCAAACTTCAATCGCCCAGCCTTAGGATGGAATCACCGTCCCGTAGCCACTTTCCCTCTCTGCCTTTCTAGTCCTCCAATAACCAGCATCAAATCTTTATATTACTAAATAATCCTGATCAAAACCAAAACAAACAAACAACAATTAGAAACAACAAAAACTACTGTGGCTTCCAACTCCTGACGGGACCCTGAATCATACACATGTCATGATTACAGAATAAGAAATGATTGCTTACACCCTTTTGCCTACATATCTTTGTTTATTGACATATTCAATCAATGTGTGAATTTTTATTTATTTTTCAGATGAACTTAAATCCCTAGAGGCCATTGCTAAAAAACCAGAGTTGCATGTAGACACTTCGCTTTTAAGCATTAAAAAATAGGTCACTCTTGACATTACCAACTCAGTGAAAACTGGTTCCAATACTTTCTAGTCATCAGCAACAGATTTGCAGAAACGATTGCCCTCTCATATATTCAGGCAGTCCCAATAGGCAGTGCCCAATGCCTTCACTTCTAAGTCTTTACTCAGTTGCATGCACTTATCTGTCTCCCCTTAAATACACTCCTGTATGCATAACAGACACAGTGCCAAAACACAAAAACAAACAAACAAAAAAACAAAAAAACCCAGGATTTTGAAGTTAACAATGTGAATTTCCCTAGAAATTCTTTTTTCCAAGGGAACACTAGATTTCTTCTGTGCTTCCATGTCATCAAAAATATATCCTACCCTTTACTTTTCTGCCTCTTTAACTGTACTGTGAACTTCCTGAAGTTGGAAAGTTGTATTAATATAATTCCTAACGATAACAATTCAGTTAATACAATGCCAAGTTCTCTGAATGCTTTTAACAAGCGTGAGATGAATAAATAAATGAATAAATGGTTTTAATTAAGTCATGATTAGTTCTCTTGTATTATATAACACTTGCCATATCTACACATTTCTATGATTTGAACTTTAGTGATATTAATTCCTCCAAAATATAATTTAATCAATCACCTGATTTCTTACTGCATATGCTTGTATTTGTTTTATATTCTATAGCTGTTGAATTTCATTTATCTATGTAAAGTTTGTTTCTAGTGAAATTTATAGTCATTAAATTGTGTTTGATTTAAATTAGTGTTAAGTATATTCTATTGATTGGAATTTTTTGGAAAACTGGTAATCCCCCTGTATAGTATATGTGATAAGCCCTTATTAATTTAAAAAAATCTGCTTAACAAAGACAGTGAATTCCCTCCCTACAACAGATAACACTGAGTTTATTCTAGAAAGAACTCTCGGTCAAAGTTCTTAAACTAATTTTATCTTAGGTTCTTTCCTGAGATGCTTTGGCTGTACCTGTGGTTCTAGAAACCATCTGGTACAAATCTTGGTTAATTTCTATATTTGTGATGTCATTTTCCTACATAAAATTATACTTAACTATATTTTGTTTATTATGAATATGTTTTGCTATCTTCTTGCTATTGGTCCAAAACCTCAGGAGCTTCCTGGGTAAAACCTGAAACCAGCCATTATACATGGAAGGCAAGTAGAGATCCAAGAAAAATGTACATCATTGCACATTGCTAGGTGGCAGGTTTAAGTAATATACTAGAGGCCCGGTGCACAAACTCGTGCAGCAGAGGGGTCCCCCTGCCTGGACTGTGGGATCAGGCCCAAATCAGTTCTCCAACATCCCATGAGGGGTCCTGGTTTGCACAAGCCAAGGGGCCCCACTGGTGCACAATCGGGGTTGAGAAGGGACACGGGAGGTTGGCAAGCCAGGGAGGGACTAAAGGAGGGCTCTAGGGCATGTCCATCCTATCTCACTCAGTCCCAATCGGCCAAGCTAAACTACCGTTCGGAGCATCTGCCCCCTGGTGATCAGTGCATGTCATAGCAAGCAGTTGAGAGGCCTTAGCATATTATTAGCCAATTATGCTTTGATTGGTTGAACGGCCAACCAGTTGACCAGACACTTAGCATACTAGGCATTTATTATATAGGACAAGGTTTGTCTTAGGTGGCTGCAAGACAAGTCCCATACCTGCCTGCCAGAATCTTAATAGTTTATAGAGAGGGTGAGTCATGTATACCACCCGGATGGTCTCAATAACACACTGCTATCTGAGGCTGTGTCCTTGAGGCAGCTTCCAGTTGGAGGAAGGCAGGTAAACCCTACTTTCCAATTGAAAGGAGTTTTAGGGGTAGAGTAGGCAGGTATAGGGAGTTGTAGGAATGAGGATGGTTCATGAGGAAGAATACATACATGGAGACTTGAAGATGCCAGAGTGTTCACCTTACTTGTACAGAGAATAGAGAAATACCCCAAGCAGATAGAAATTTTTCTGGCCTAATCAATTAAAACAGCCATAAACCAAGGACAGAGAGGGGTATCTCTAGGCTGAGCAATTAAAAGTGACCATAAGTTAGACCAAAAGTAGCCCTGACATGAGTAGCTGGGAGAGCCCATAAGATAAGGATTTCTCTGCCAGCACAACTGGGAGAAAACCATGGAATAAATCAAAAGTGACTCCAACCTAAACAGATAAGATGACCAAAGGAGGAAAATGGCGGATGTGGGGGTCATAGGAGCTGATGACAGGGCTAAGGTCCCACGGCAGAAAAGGAGGTCTCCAGCCTATTTGATGCCTCAAGACAAAGAAAGTAACATCTACCCTTTTTAGGGGGCCCCTCTGTCCACCAAGAGGGACAGAGTTTTAGGCTTAGAATTTAGAATTAGGGTTTTAGAGATAGTGTTTGCTTGCAATAAAGATTCTGTACTTCTCACCTATCACCTTTTGTCTCCGGTTTCATTCTTCAAATCCATCTGGACAAGAACCTGGGAAAGAAATCACCCTGCTCAATAAAACAACCCGAATCCCAAGGACAGGAGAATGGGGAGAAGCCTATGATTTCCCGGGTCCAGCTACAGGGTCAGCCTGCAGTCACATCCTCTCAGTGACTCCTCCAACACTTTGCGTATGCTTTAAATGACTGGTTGTCTTTTTTCTTTTCCTTTTTTTTTTTTTTACGATTTATCTTCTGAGAATATGTATTTTCTCATTAAAATGGAAAGCTAAGGTCCTTGGTCTATGCTATAATATTAAGATATTACGTGAACATAAAAATTACTAAAGAGGTTAAGTCAAGCCCCTTAACATTGGAGACGGTAGTTTCTTGCATGATTATGAGAGTGTAATACCTTTTACTTAATACCAGTGCTTTTGATAATATAAAACAAAAATTATTTCATTTATATGTGGAATCTAATGAGCAAAATAAGCCAATAAAAAATAGAATCCGACTCATAGATAGAGAGAACAGATTGACAGCTATCAAAGGGGAGTGGGAGTGGGGGGGATGGGGACTGGGTCAAAAGGGTGAAAGGATTAAGGGGAACATAACAGACACAAACAACAGAGTTTTGCCAACCAGGAGGCAGGTAGAAGAGGGTAAAGGGGGAATAAATGGTGATGGAAGGAAACTTGGCCTTGGTTGCGAACACACCATACAATGTACAGATGATGAATTATAGAATTGTATGCTTGAAACCTATATATATAATTTTACTAACCAATGTCACCCCAATTCATTCAATAATTTTTAAGTGATACATATTAGTATAAATTTAAAGTTATTGAAATTTAATGTTTTAAAAACTTTCTAATTTTCAGATTCAATCTTCCCAGACATAAGGATATTCAGTCACCATTGCTTCTCTGCACCTAAGTACTGACTTCATAATTTACTGTTTCTTTTTTGTTTTCTAGCTGACTCTGGTGATGATAAAATTTTATTATCCAAATAACTTTCTAAATGACATTGAGATTCCTAAGGGACTCTTTTTTACAGATATAAACAATTGAAAATTGCTCCCGTAGCCATTCAATTGATATGCTATAATTTATCCAACTTTAATAAACTCTCTCTTAATCCTATATCGGCTATCTCTTTTAATAGCAATAACATACTTAGTAGCTGTTGATACTTGCTGAATTTCATCATTCTCTTCACATTTTCTTTTGAAGCAATTCTATTCAGACTTTCTGCCCAACATTCCTATAAACTGCTTTTGGCACAAGTCACCAGATCTCTGCATTGCAGATTACAATGGCCAATTATCACTAGTCCTCTACTCATCTTTGAAAGATTTTTTTCACTGGCTTCTCAGTACAATCTCCTGATTTCCTATCTGAAGTCTACTGTTCCTGACTCCACTTCTATCTTCAACTTGTAAACACTGGGAGAGCCTGAGGGGTTTGCCTGGGACCCCTCTCTTTTCTATCTACACTACTTCTTTTGTGATTTTCCCAGTCTTTTCATTCTAAACATCACTTCATATGCTGACAACTACTAAACATCTATGTCCAGCCAGGAGGGTGCTGGTTCATGTAATCCACTCTCTACTCTGTATTTCCAATCAGGTTAGTAACAGAATTTCAAAAGTATCACATCTAACATAGGACTCCTGCTATTGCCTCTTCCACTCTTCTTAGAAAATGGCAATTATATTTTTCCAGTTTTGCAGGTCAGAAATCTTAGCTCCAACCTGACCCTTCTATTTCTGAAATGCCTAGATAGTATCAGCCTTGTTAGTTTTAGCCTCAAACTAAAACCAGTGTCTAGTCATGTTTCCTCACCTCTGCAGTTAGCACCCTCATCTAAGCCAGCATTAGCTCAGTGCCATCTGATCACACTGTTCTACTTGTAGATTCACCTTTTTCTAATCTATTCTCAACAATAGCAGTAAGGGGAATTTTTCTAAAACTGAGGCTATATATTTCACTAGTCTGCACAAAAAAAAAACTCAAAAAGCTTTACATTCAAAGGGAAAGACCATCTGTATATATAAAAGCCTAAGCAACTGTTCAACCATTCGACTGGTAGCTATGATGCACACTGGCGACCAGGAGGCAGGTGCTCAATGCACAGGCATAGAAACATGGAACAGACTGATGAATTTAGAGGGAAGGGGGGAGAGGGAAGAGATTAACCAAAGATCTTATATGCATACTAGAGGCCCAGTGCATGGATTCGTGCACTGGTGGGGTCCCTTGGCCTGGCCTATGCAGATCGGACCAAAACCTGCAGTCTGACATCTCCTAAGGCAGTGGTTCTCAACCTTCCTAATGCCATGACCCTTTAATACAGTTCTTCATGTTGTGGTGACCCCCAACCATAAAATTATTTTCGTTGCTACTTCATAACTGTAATTTTACTACTGTTATGAATCATAATGTAAATATCTGATATGCAGGATGTATTTTCATTGTTACAAATTGAACATAATTAAAGCATAGTGATTAATCACAAAAACAACCAAATAAAGCAGGATTGAGAAGTAAAAACCAAAATGTACCTAAAATACTGGAAATTGCTCTATTTGCCATGACATTAGTAAGTATCCCTGTAAATAGAAGCATAGTCTGTATTACAAATCAACTTGATCCTATGGATATAGGTTAAAATACTAAAGGAATTGGATCTCTAGAAGAGAGGACATAAAACAAAATACTGTACAGAGGAAGACTTTCCGTGGACGGTGTACTGGGCTAATTGCTTCCTATCATGCAAGACACTTTTGGAAGGTTCACTGGTAGATACTGCAGGGAATCCACAGGGGGGAGAATAAGTGCTAGAAACTCAGGTTAAGAACTTTGCCTAATGTCTGCATTTAGAAAAGGAAGAAGCATTCACACATAAAAAGGGACTTTCAAATTAAAAAGTCTCTATGGTTAGAAAGTGTGTATGTAAAAATGAGGGGAGAAACTTGATTTTCACAGTATGCATGCACTTACTAAATATTTACTGTATTCATTATTCATTTAATTATAGTGATAATATAATTCTGTAACAAGAACCTGGCATGAAATAATAGTACATTGAAGAGCATTGATCTTTAAAGGAAAACTATCATATGTAATAAAAGGCTAATATGCAAATTGTCCCCTCAACCGGGAGTTCAACCAGGAGTTTGACCAGAGGGCAGGGCTGGCCAATCGCCCACGGCCTCTCCCCCAATTGGGGCGGGCTAAACGGATCCCATCTGTGCACAAATTTGTGCACTGGGTCTCTAATATGGTATAAAACTGGCTTTATTTATTTTGCAAGAATAATATCTTCTGAAAGTACCAGTCTGTATTTCTGAATTCATTGCTTCTATGTTTTCAAGAGACCTAAGATCATCTAAATGGAAAGGTGTGAATGAAGACATAAGGCAGCACTCTGAGTATAACAAACTTTACGCGCTGAATCTGTATCCTTTCATACATAAAAAGAGTTAAACTCTAAAACGCACAATTCTATAATGGGTAGATGTTTCTCTCTCTCTCTCCCTCTTCCTTCCTCTATAAAGTATATATATATATATATATATATATATATATATATATCATTACATTTATCTTACTATTTTATCATAGATCCTTATTTAAAATATTTGTAGAATTCTAAGGTGGCTTAAAATATTTACTAATTAAATTTCATAAAACTATCATGAGAGCTTGTCAAACTAATGCTATGTGACTGATGAGAACTATACAACTTTCAGAACAAATGACACCCTTCAACCCACCAGGCTAAGAGAATCAACCAGACTCTAGCATAGCTTCTATTGCAGTGGTTCTCAATCTTCCTAATGCCATGACCCTTTAATACAGTTCCTCATGTTGTGGTGACCCCCAATTTCATTGTTACAAATT